AAGTTTCTTGTAGTATCCAAGACTTCATATCCATCTCCTGGACAAATAGAAGGGACAGCTTGGCTAATTTAAAACACATTCTAGCTGGGCATAGTGGTGCATGCCTGTAATCCTAGTACTTAGGAGGCTGAGACAGGAGGATTATTGTGAGTTTAAGACAAGCTTGGGCTACAAAGTGAGCTCAAGGCCAGCGTGAACTGCATAGAGAAACCCCTGTCTCAAAAACACAAAATGAAGTAAAATAAAATAAAATACAATACATTCTAAAATATTAAACAGAAACTGAGAAAATTGTGAGTGAATATAAATTGCTGCATTTTGTAGATAAAAGCACATCCTGGCAGTTAATGGTAAAACAAGAAGACAAAATAAACATTGGGAATATAAATGATAGTTTCAATATAATAGTAAATAGAAATGGTTCCAGCTTCTATATTGTAAAATATTAATGAAAATTCAAATACATATTTCCAAAAATGAATCCACAATGACAAACACAAATTTTGTGAATGAATTTGTGAGAATAGATACATTCATCTGTTAAAGTTACATTCTCACCTGGGGGTTTTCAAGAGTTTTAGGCCCTACAGGAAGTGAGTTGCATGAATGTATTCTAAAGTAGCCCAAGAAACATTAATTGTAGTCTAGGCACATAACACATAAAATAATTCATTGAAACTTTTATGGACATCTTTTAGTTCTGTAATCTGATTGTCAAACAAGAGTGCTTGGGGAGTATGTTATTTAATTTCCATGCATAGTTATATGGATTGTGGATTTTAAAAACTGCACTAGGTGTCTTCTGTCCATGTTAGGCAAAAAATAAATTTTTGATCTTTTATATATTTTAGAGCCTTGTTTTTAGGTCTTATATGTTATCTATTGAGGGGAGTAGCCCTCAAGGTATTTGTAAGTTTGTGTGCCTACTGTTGTGGGGAATGCTCCACTGACGCCAGTAAGGACAAATTGGTTTAATGTGTGGCTAACACCCTTTTTTTAAATTAATGTTCCTTGTCTTTCTAACATCCGTTATTAAGTTAATAAAGCCTCGCAGAGTTGCTGTGCCTTGGGCCCATTTCCTGTCTCAGTGTGGCCATAGTTTCTTCAGATATTGAGAACAATAAGAAGAAGTATCCGGAAGAAGGGCAGTGGCCCTCAGGCATGAGACATAAGGCGTAGCATGGTGACCACACACAATATCCCACATGAGAAGTGGATGCAAAGTTGGTCCCCAGAAGTCATTGAAGTCACGCCTGCCTTGGCTATCACCTGCTCACTGCATTTGCAAGGAAACATATGAACCTTTTCCATGAGGGAGCAGGTGTCTTTTCTGAGTTTAGCAAAAGACACAAGGCTGGCTACAGAATTCAATATTGATTACAATTACTACAATTCATTTTCCCCATAGTTGATCTCTAAGCAACCCTACTAAACCATTAATTGCATGTGTACTTACACAATAATTACACCAACTTGCATTGATTATGGCTACAATTCTGCACTCATTATAAAAACAAAATCTCTGTGTTAAACACAACTCTTTGTTCAGTAATAGATTCTCATGATTTCAGTTAAATTTTCTTACACAAGACAGGGAGAGTAATTGCCACCTGCTTAAAAAATGGATTCATCCACCAAAAGAGTGAAAAAACCCACAATGTGGGAAAAATGTTTTCCAGCTGTTCCTCAGACAAAGGATTACTATCAAGAGTGAGTAAAGAACTAAAAATAATCAAACCTCCCAAATTTAAAGACCCAATCAAAAGATGGGCATCTGAGATGAAGACACACTTCTCAGATGAAGAACTACAAACAGCTAATACCTATATGAAAAACTACTAAACATCACTGGCCATTCAAGAGATGCAAATTAAAACAATACTGAGATTTCATCTCACCCCTGAAAGAATGGCTGTTATCAAGAAATCAACCAATTACAAGTACTGGAGGGGATTTGGGGAAAAAGGAGCTTCAACACTGTTCGTTGGAATGTACACTGGTAGGACCATTGTGGAAATCAGTGTGTAATTTCTTCCAAAAACTGGGATTGGAGGTCCCATCTCACCCAGCTATATTCCCCTTTTGGGTATCTTCCCAGAAGAATTAAAAACATTGTGCCACAGTGATGTATATGCACCCATGTTTATAACTGCAGAATTCGTAATAGCTAGATCTTGGAAACAACACAAATGTTGTTTGAATAAAAATGATGTGGTCTTTTTATACAGTGGAGTATTACTCAGCCATAAAGAAGGATAAACTGAAGAATTTTAAGGTAAACAAATGTGCAAGCATGACAGTGACCCTCTCCCTGTCTCTTCTATTCTATCCAGGCTACCCACCCCACCCTTAAGGGAGGTAAAACTCACACCATTGTTGAGCCTGCTCATTATCAACAGGTAGAACTACTCCAAACCATTCAATGAGTTAAACTAGTAATCACACACCCTTGATATCATCATCACACACTTAATCTCAGCATCACAAACTCTAGATTCAGCCACCTCAGAAAAACCCCACCTATGACCACATGGTGTTTTGAGGATACATCTGGACAAAAGCCATAACAATGGTGATAACTACTAAAGAATAAGTGATGTTCTGCTCCTTATCCAGGTAGTAAAGATTCTGCTCACTGGAGTCACCTCACTTGAGGAGAAAAAAATGTCAAAGAACCTGCAAGTTTCTTTCAGAGATGCCCATGATCACCAGACTTGGACCACTAAAGAGAAACTACAGACATGGTGAATGAATTAGTGAGTTGAAAGTGACTTCAAGGTGTGCAGGGAAGGAAGGACTCGGAGACTTTGGACTCAGGAGAGGATTTCAGGGTCAGATTGTTTCCTTGAATGGTTGATGTGCTCTTTATCAGTAAAAAAATAAAAGCCTTAAAATCACTGGTGCAGTCTATGAATATCACTTAGAACATTGAGTAGTGACAGTAATCACCTCAGCAGGGATTCCCCAACCTTTCCATGATGAAGAGTAGAAGAGAATCCATAGTCTTTGTGAAGCATTTATTCCCCTCTTAGGCAGTCACACACAGAGGGAAAAGGACAATCCCGAGGACACAAAGGGTCAGCGCAGGAACACAGAGGAGCCAACAGAGTGCAGCAGACAGCACTCGTGTGGTGTTTGGGGTATTTACATTAGTGCTGCTGCTATGGGAAACTAGAGAGAATTTTCTCCCAAGTTAAACATGCCGCTGGAGATTGATCCAGCAATCCACACACTTGGTGTATTTCTAAAGGAACAAAAACATGTATCTTAGATAAATTTATTTTAATCTTTGTACCAGATAATTCACAAAAACAAACCCACAATCCACCCGAGTGTTCTTTGAAGGACAGTTGATAAGGAAAATATCTTGTACATGTACAACTGATTACTATCCAGCCTTAGAAGACGAGGAAACCCTATAGCAGATGTAGACAAAATAGATTTGAAAGGCATTTTTAAAAAGCAAACAAAGCAGACACAGAATTTTTAAAAAATCCTGGGTGATCTCACATGCATTTAGAATATACAGTTATCAAACCTATAAAAGTGGAGAGAATACTGGCTTCCAGAAGATGGAGAGTAAGACAAAACAGGAGGTTCTGACTGATGATGAGAAAGATATCCAATAAATTTTCTGAGGAATATTAATGGCAGATAATTAGAAACACCATATTGTGTAAGGAAAAGTTTGCCATGATGGTAGGTGTTATGTGCTATTACCACAAGGGGAACAAAACCACATAAAGGTGAACACAGGTCAAGAAGGAGCAGTTGGAGGTGATATGTAATTTTTGGCACAGATTTTGGAGTTTGAAAAGTTGTTTAATGCCAATCATGTGGTGATTACTCACTTAGGTGGAATCTTCGTATCAAGGGAGAGGAAAGGGGGCAGACATGGATGGAGCAGATGACTTACAATGTCTGAAGTGTCTGAATACAGAAATGGTTGGTAACACAGTTCACAAACCTGTGAGGATTTCAAGTAGTAGAAATGTAAAATCAAAGAAAATACACACACTCTATCAACATTAGTCACCAAAATAAAGATTTATTGAATTTCTCTTTGGTCCACAGGTCTAAATTGAGCTCCTCTACTCAAATTGACAAGATTACAGATAGTTTCCAGTTTGAATGGCATTGATGTTTTAAAGTACATCCAGTTAAGCACATTAAAGCATTCAGATTTTCAGTATTAGCCATGCCACAGTGAGGTAGTCAAAAGTTAACTGTTGTGTTCCAGAGTGCTTGTACGTGTCTGACATCTACATTTTGTTTGGCAGTGTGGATTGTGGAAACCAAGACAGTGTGTCAAGCAATGCTATCACCAAGCTATGTCTCAAAGCTTTGGACAAAACATTTTCATTAGAATAAGATCTTTTTAAAATAATAATAAACGTAGATAACTATCATAAACAATAATGAATTTTTAAACAATTGTTTCAAGAAAACATTCATGAGATCGCAATTATAGGACAAAAATACCCCACCAGGATCTAACATACAAAAATAAATGACAAGAATCCAAAACTGTAAATTGAGGGAGTTATAAACAAATGTATAAAAAGTTAAAACTGGCTTAAATATATAGTACTTTTTTATGTAAATATATTTTACTGACAAAAGTAAATAAAAATTTATAATTAATTGAGGTTGGTAAAGAAAAATATTCCACACAGAGAACAGAGAACCCACAATTATGGAGAAAAAACACAGACAGAGAGACATGCAGAAAAAAAGGAACTGAATAAAGAAATCAAGCAACTTCAAGTGGAAAACAAAATATTAGTCATAATATTAAAAACTATTTCCTTTGAATTTCTGTGAATTACTGTTCATTGTAAAAATATTTCTCGCTAGCCTTTTTACACCACCTACAGTGTTATTACCTTACTGTAGTAACACTGACTTATAATTGTGTGTTGATTTATGACTGATGATTGCATGCAATGTTGAAGACCTGAACAGACTACTTCGCATTTCTAATGAGATGAGACGAATGTTCACTTCTTCCACATGAGCCTGCATACAAGCTGTTCTCGAGTCATGAGAATAAATGGACTAATGGTCGGGAAACAAACGTGAATTAAGGCAGAAGTTTTAACCAGCCACCAAGCAGGTTTGCTATAAAAAGAGAACCAAACATTCATGATGGAAGTCAGTGCATATAAGGATACAAAGGTACAGACCAGCATGAGGATGCTTTGAGAAGCTCTTGTCTCAGGGGAAGATCTTGATGAGATGTGCCTGTGAATATGCTGAGTTCGCTGCTTGTGCCTGTACAGAATGAAAGCCATGGAGCCACTGCTCCAGATCATAAGTTTCAAACACAAAATGTCATGTGATAAGGTCAATGCCACGAAAATGGAGTTTTTGTCTTTGTCAGGACTCATAGCCGTGCAGTATTGATAATCTATAGTGTTTGTGATGTTTTTGTTGTTCCTTTTGTCACTCACAAGCATAGGAACTCTGATATTTAGCAGCATATGTAGGACCCAGCAAATGATGGGACAGGGCCCGATGCACTTTAGGGCTTTCACTTTCAGCTCTGCCCACCTGGAGCTCCTGGGGCTGATGGTGATGGCCTGGAAGACACTCAGCAGACAGGTGTTACTGAAAGACACACCCTTGCCCAGCATTTGAACATAGAAAACTAGTTTGCATCCCACATTATTAAGGAATTCTTCCATCCCAAGTGCTGCCATCGTCTCTGGGATTCCTCTGGAGAGAATGACCAAGAGGTTGGCCACTGACAAGTGCCTGAGAATGAAGTCTATGAATCTGGACCTGCATCCACTGAAATAAAGGCAGGTAGAATGCCAAAAATGGAAGAAATTTCCCAGGCTTCCAATGACAATGGGAAAAAGGAAGAGGATTACAAATTTCAGATCCATAGATGCCATTCTTCTATTGTGCAGTATTCATATCAACATTCCAAAATGTAGGATTCTGTATAGAAATGTATGTTTGGGAGAAAGATTTCGTATAAGCCAAATTAAAATTATGCATGTTTATATTACTTAAAATTTTATTACAACTACATAATTTGTGCTTTTAAATCTTAAATACATGCAGTTCTCCCTCCCTTAAACTCATTGTCTTTATTACACTGAAACTCCTTGCTGGCTCAGCATCCCTACCTTCCCTGCACAGTTGTGGACATCTAATCCTTCAAAAAAAAATCTGAAATACACCTTTCATTATATAACATTTTAAATATACGGATCACTGTGATCCATGCCTTACCAATTCTAACGCACTGAGTCCTCATAACACAATGGGTTAGGACCTAAACATGTCTGTCTTTAAGAAAAAACATGTTTACTAAAGAGAAGGCACGTGACTCTTAATGTCAAGATGTTTGCATGTGTCAGCCAGGGTTCAGTGACATTGTGCTTATTTCTGCATTGTGTCATCACAGGGTCAAAGTGATGATGATTTTAGAAGTCATACATATAATTTGTCATATTCGAAATATCCTTATACAAATCTTAGATGGTGATAATCCCCATTCTGTGTAAATGTTTTATTTATACCACAGAACCACTCCTAGGGCAATATTCATAAGCCTTTAAAATTAATGATGGATGAAGTAATCTCTTATAACTAATTTGAGTTGAATAAACATGTATCATTGTTATAATAGCAACAAAATATTTGCCAATATCCTTTAACATTGAAATTACATATAATATGGGGTTTATTCTCTTAGGTAATGCTTTATATATGAAATTGAATTCACGGACACTGAATTAATGTTAATTGGATAGCTTACTATTTTTCTAATTTAGAAAAGTAAATTGGTGCAATGTCATTTGACAAAGTGCATCATGTATGACAACTAGAATTTCACATGCATGGTGATGGCCTATGATGACATGTAATCACAAAATGACATAAAAGATTTTAAACCTGAGAAATGTAACAAGACACATTTGAATCAGAAACAACTTGACTTCCTTAATTTCTCTGCAGTTCATATGACTAAACTATTAAGTTAAATTTGTGTGAACTTTTTGGACAAAAGAAAAGTTGTTCAACATGGTCAATAGGATACAAATATTTTCAGAGATACCTAGAAACCATCTCCATTCATTACCTCAACCACAGTGAGAGAAAAATCATTATGAAACAGAAATTACCATCTGAACACAATGCTTATGCAGGAAAATGCTGGTTCAGCTTTCGCCAGCACGCTCATCATCATAAACAAGAACATTTACTGAAGCGAGAATGCAAGTTTTTCTGGGATTTCTTTATAGCAGTCAGAACATCAGACTGGGAAACTTAGGGATGTTCTAAATGAGGTGACATTACTACTTGAAGCAACTGTCACAACCATCCTCTATGCAGGTTATATGGAAGCATAGGGGGAGCAGTCAGAGGCTGGTGAGGAGTCTCAGACCCCCAGTCTCTGTCCACAGCTCAGCCTGAGCCTCAAGAATCATCCCTCTTCCCTGTGTGTCTCTGTCACCCCAGATGAACCACTTGCAGACATGACAACTCACACAAACATGAACCCTAGATCAGCTCATTCTCTAATAGCTTCTATTTCACAGACTAGATGAGAAAATACTCACCCAGCACCTACGTGCTTCTCAAGCAGCGGGCCAGTGTGATAGTCACAAAACTCCTGCTTGTGTGAAGGGAGGTGGCGAGACCCCTAGATATGGGTCATGGTTGGGTGATTTCAACTCCCTCTGAAATACAATTATCACTTCACCTGTAGTTTTCATGACAGTGCATGTTTAGGCAGTAGAGACCACTAAGAAACAAGAAACAAATAAGTCCTTTTCAGGTCCCAATTCCCAGAAACAATTAGAAATTTCTGTGGGCATCTCCATGCAGAGAGAATTTGAGTGCTTGGAGAATCCTTTCCTAACAGCTAGAGGAGCGCGGTCCCATAGGGTGCAAGGAGAAAAGTTTGGTGTCTGAAAGATGAAGAAAGCTCAGTGAAGCCTGTGTATTTTTCCCTATTGTAATTGATGCACAAATATACATACATATGAGTGTGTTTTCATAAGTGTATTGGCTTAAAATACATAAACATAGAAATTATATAGAATTATAGAATTATACACATAGGATATACTTGTATGTAGATGGATACATCTATGTGTATGTATATGGGATATATTTGTATGTAGATGAGAATAGTTAAATATGATCTTAGCATTTTTTTTAAGAATGCAACATTGTTAGTGGGTGTAATTACCATGGTTTAAAGTGTGTCCCTAGAACTTACTACTACCTACAAGGAGATGATGATTACTTCCCTGCATATCCTAGGCTCTTGTGACCCACGACCAACATTCTGCTTTACTGAGGGCACCTAATTTACATCCCACATACAGATGATCTCATGTAGTATTTGTTCATTTGTGCCTGAATAACTTCTCTCAATTTAAAATCTTCGCAGCTTATCTACTTTATTCACAATGAACTGTCCTCATTTCTGAGATGTAGTAGTCTTATTTTTGTTTGTTTGCTTGCTTATTATTTTAGAGAAAAAGGTAAAAATAAAATTTCATAAGAAAATAACAGGAGAATAAGGCTATTTAATGTATTGCATGTTGTTATCTATAAAATGGGGGCTCCAGGTACAAGATATGGGCATAAAAATTTCTCCAATCGATATTAACACAAACTTTCCTTTTCAATGATCTAAGAGACACTAATAGAACAACTGACTCGCACTTTTCTCTTTTCCCTACTGTCCTTTCCCTTTAAACTCATCTTACTTCATTTTTTCCCTTTGAACAATTTCTTCCCATTTCCCAATATATATAGTGTATTTGAGACCTCATTTACTTTTTCAGTTTCTCACACAAGGGAGACAGTATGGTGCCTACTCATGTGAGTCTGATTTATTGCACTTATGAGCACGGTCTCAAGTTGCATCCATTTACCTATAAAACTCTTAAGTTTATCCCTCTATGCCTCAGTTGTACTCTATTGTATAAAAATAGCACGTCTTTTTAATCCACTCCTCAATTGATGGGCATTTGCTTTGTGTCCAAGTCTTAGCTATTATGAACTGTGCTGCTGTAAACATGGGTGCATGCATATCACTGTGGTATGATGTTTATAATTCTTCTGGAAAGATACCCAGAAGGGGAACAAAACAAAAATGGGTGGAATGGGTCCTCTAGTTCTAATTTTTGAGGAATCTCTACACTGTTTTTTACAGTGCTTGTACAAGTCTGCAGTCCCACCAACTGTGGAGAAGAGGTCCTTTTCCCCCACAACCCTTCCAGCATTTGTCATTGGTTGATTTCTTGATGGTAGACATTCTCTCTGGGGTGAGATGGAGTCTCAGGGACATTTTAGTTTGCATTTCTTGAGTGACTAGTGATGCTGAACTTTTTTTCATATATTTATTTGCTCCTTGTGTTTCTTCATCAGAGACATTTGTATTTATCTCTCATGCCAATTTGGGAATCTGATTTTTTCAATTATTTATATGTTCTAAAAACAAGCTTTTATCTGAAGGACAACTGGTTAAAATATTTTCCCACTCTATGGGTTGTTTTTTCATTCTGTTGGTGAATTTTTTGCCGTGCAAAGGCTTTTCAATAAGATGAGATACCAGTTGTTGATTCTTTGGTGCATTTGCCATTTCTGTCTAGGTTTTGTTCATGAACTTTGTACCTACGCCTGTGAATACAACAAGCATTGTTA